GGCAGGCTCCACAGTCAAAGGTCAGATTTTCGCGTCCCTGAAAGAGACAGTTTCTATTGGTATCGAGAAAAAGTTCTTTTCTTGGAAAATAAAGGACGCTTATGTCGGTCTTGACGTAACAGGTAGCATAAATGCCAAGGTAGAAGTCAACGTGCTTGCTGGACTGAGGTTGGTCTAATTAATGTCTGTTATTATTCATTCAAAATATTTCCTCAATTCTGATTGGCTAAAAGCACACGCATAATTCACCATAACCAGTTACTGATGACCAAATTTGGAAGAATTTTGTGCTTAACGAGGAAATGACGTCAAAAATGCAGCCTTCTACAGGTTAATGCACCATTAACCGAGAAGACCAGGGGACGAGATTGAGTTGTTTTCGTTGTAAAAACTAAAATGGCGGACACTTCACTCGTTTCGAGAGTAAGAACTACAGCTGGAACTAGGCGAAATAATGGCTAAAAACATAGCCAAAACAACAAAAAGACAACTCGGAGGGCGACATCTGCTATTTGGAGAATATTTGCAGAGCTGGACAAACCTAAACGTAAACTATCGAAGATAAACTTAACATCGATGCAGGTAAGCTTGTTTTAGCTATGTTTTTAAACTAGGAATTATTTTGAATGGATAATAAAACAATTATTGAATTCGGCTTTCGTATCATATGAAGAATTATAGAGATCTCGGAGGGTGTCATCCGCCTCTGACTACGGCCTCAACGGATAACACCCTCCTCGATCTCCATAATTCTTCATAAGATACTCAGCCTCATTCATTAATTGCTAAATATATAAAATACGACCAGCAAGGAAAACAATTCGGATCATTGTACGTTTCTTGGAAACTGCCCACCTACCCCTCCCCTCAGGCAACATTTTGCCTTAAGTGAGAAGTAAGTGTTAATGTTGGCTTAAGGGAGGGGTAAGTAGGCAGTTTCCCAGAAAAGTAGGATGATCCGAATTTCTTTTCTTGTTGGTCTTATTTCATATATCAGATATTTTCTACGAATTCAAGAAAATGTTGCTGTTTTAGAGAAAATTTAGGACCGTAACCATCATGGCTGTGATTTTGAATGACATCACAAGCCTAGCCTCCGTTTCCGCTATTCTTTCTTGTAATGTACAGCTTGCAATGTAAAAAAATGCGATAAACAGCATGTCACGAACTTGGGACAGCGAAAAAGTACCCGCCAGAATTCGGGGGTGGTCCTATATTCACTGCGCTGCGGCCTCGTGGTGAGCACCGTACTCTTTAGCGTTTCTCCGTAGCTCAGCTGCTAGAAATTAAATTAAATCGTCCGTTCGTCCGTCTGCCCCTATATGTTAGCGGATGTGAAATGTCACACTTACAGCTTGGTGTCCAAGGCATACACAATCTGTGTTTTAACTTGATAGTGGACAACTATGTGTTATGGTCATTTGACAGCTGTCTGAAGTAATACGAGACGAAAGCGTCACTTCCGGCATACTACACTGCCAAAAAGGAATACCGCTGACCAGTGCCCACATGACTGAATCGCGCACTCCAGTGTACAACTCATTGAGTTGGCGTGTTTTTTAAAGTTATCCGCTGACCAGTTGTTGGTTTTAATTGATGGCAGGCTCAAGTTCAGTTTCTTTTCAGGACCGGAATTCCTTCTTACGACAAAAGTTAAACTACTTTAAAAGACCTTTCTTTAAAGATTCCATGAGAGCTTCGGTTTTGGCTTTGGCTAAATCTGTAAATAAAAGAAAAGAAAGGAAGCTAGCGATTATTTTCACATTATCATGTCAATCTGCATGGTCTAGTCAGAGAAAATTGGGAGTGGCGTCTGTTTCGTTTTTGTGCAGAATTCTTGTCAAGCCTTCTTCTGTTCCATAGCTACCAAGGAGAGGTAATTCCACTGAAACGCAAGCAGCTTGGTAGAACGCTGTACATTCGGGTGGCTCGCATACCGCTTCCCATTGGAATATTTGCAGAGTTAACAGGAAGGGCTAATATCGATGTCGGGGTGAGTAAATGCGTCAACTTGTTTGATTCCCACGCTATAATTAATTAAACAGAGCTTAAATGCGCCAACTGTAAAACTTGCTTGTTTTCCGGATTATATCTGTAGAATTTTGATGGTCTGTACCCTCTTCGTGGTAAATAGGTAACGTAACAAATCACAGGTCCATATTACCGTAGCGAAACCCGGTTACCATCTGCAAGAATGATACCCCTCCTTGAAAATAATATTCACTGCAAGGTTAATCCTAGAAGTATTTTGCCAATATCCATTCATACACCTAGGCGATTAGGGACAAAGTGGATCAAAGTTCCTTGTTTATGGAAAAAAGCGACGGCTAGGATTGAACTCGGACCTAAGCCACTACCACGCCTGCAGAACTTCTAATTGGGAAGATCTATAGAGCATAGCGTTCTTTTTCAGGGAAGACTGCTTCATACTATTCACAGTTTTGCCAGGGCAGACTTTGGAGGAGAATGTCGCTTAACCAGTGGATGCAAGACAACGGAAAATTCAGTAAGTGTTATTTAGAAAGCTTTGCAGGCCAAAGTACATGCCACGTGGATGTAACCAACTACAGAAAAGCATATCCCTTACTCGACTAGTAAATGATTTGATTTACTATATACACGAGCGCATTCCAAATTTTGACTTTTCTCCCCTCGCAAAAAAACTATTTATTAAATTTATACCAGTTAGTACAAGGGACCATTATAAGGCAGTAGAAATAAACCTTTACAGCTTAAAGTCTTCGTAAATATTGAAAACTATAGCCTGTTCCAGGCTTTCTGACCGAGTAGAGAGGGCGGGCGAAAAATTGACGAGGAAAAATAAAAACGAAGGCCTGAATTCCACGCTCTACTATCTGAACGCCTGGAACAGGCTAACTTAAAACAACAGTCATTGTGGTTCTCACAGTTTTTCAGTCTTTCTGTGATTGGTAAACTGGCACATGGCGTCACAAATTCGTCCTTTTTTTATTGTCTTGCTTGCGCCATCTTGACTTACGAGTTTGCACGAGATTAAAATTGTCAACTAACGGTTAATTCAAGCGAAAAGTCCTCAACCCCCCAAAAAATGTCTAAAATAAACTCTTTATACGTATTAATAACTTAAAAAATATCTTTAAAACAAGTTTATATGGAGGGATATAGTAAAACCGCGCGACTAAGAACATGGCTAAAATTTGCTAGTTAATCTCTCTCTCTGTATATTTAGAACCTGTTTTGCCTAAATTTGAAACAGGGTCTTGTTTTCTAAAATCTATGCAAGAAATTATGTATGCCTGGGCAAATAAGATAAGTCAACATTCAGAATCCTCTCTGGAGACATAAGTGCCTCATCACATGAGTTTAAAAATGCTAAGATTGCAAGGTACTTATTGGACAATTAAGTCGACTCTTAGAGCTGAGTGTAATAGGAAAACGAATTACAGTAAATGAATGTTATTTCCGAAGTAGGACTTCAAAATAGTTATGAGGTCAATGCTTTAGTTCTTCTTTTTATGGTCATTTTTGCTTAACTTCGAATTTGATTTGCAAATTTTATATGAGGAGTAAGCTGAACCACTAAATAATCTTATACTGTATTTTTTCTTCAGAAAATAAGAACCTGTTTAAGCACCTAAATAGCCTAAACGTGTGTTAACTACCATTTATAAAGGACCAGCTGTTTAGGCGAACTTGGAAAAATCCAGGTTCATAGTCGTGGACTGGTTTTACTGTATACAATTAATTAAGAACAATTAATTGTCATAGTTGTATGAATTATGTACCAAACTGTTTCCTAATGAACTTCAAGAAATGTCCCTTTTGGGCAAATAAGCCAAAGCAGTACTAGTGTATTTAAACACTGACACTTTTCATATCTATTTCATATCTATCTTACAGGCCTCGATTTCCTCAGACTGGATAGTGTGGGAGACCGAAATATCAGCCCAAGCAAAAATAGAATTTACTTTAACACCAAAGTTGTCAATAAAACTTCCTACAGCACCTCGATGGATTGGTAGACTGATGAAAACGTCCCTATTCAGTCCACTTAAAAAATTTTTCAATAAAGGTACTTATAGAATAAAAAGAAAACTTCATGTTTGATCATAGGTTTACGTAAGTTTCCTTGCAAACTGAAGCAAAATTATGATCGTAATTAATAGATAATTTTGTTGCAAGTGACAAACATTTCGGTTTCTTTATTTTTTTTTTTCTGCAGTGGGAAAAATTGGGAAATACGTTGAGTTTTCATTATCAATTTACGTCAGTGCACCACTTCAAGCGAGTGTCTCATTGAGTTACCCATCAAACTCCTGCCCAGGCTCCAACCCAGCAGAGCTAGCAGGTTCTTATGGAGTGGCTGGCGTGAATGTTGGAACGACCATCGTTCTTGTGGGAAAGGATTTCGATCTTCCGTTTAGCTTGGGATATTCCAAGATGGAACCACTCAGGTAACTCTTTAATAAACAAAACACGTTCTTTAAAAATTAGCCAAAAAACAGCAATGGAGCTCAATGAATTTAGTTTTCTACGAAAAGAACAGACATGCTGCAGGGGCACGCGACTACAAATTTATGTCTGTGAAATAACTGTTCTTAGGGACAAATAATTCTTTGAAAAACGATTATTGTTAAAATGAGGTCTCCTAAAATTTTGGCAAAGAGATAAAACGTCCCCCAGAGAAGTACAGCTACTGCACGACCGTACTCATCAGAGTAGCTAACAGTTTCGGATTAGACGAAAAAAGTCTGGTAAAACTCTCGAGAGGACCAAAGTTCCCCTCGGAATTCCGAAAGTTATATAGTTTTTTTAGGACAGCCCTAAATTAACCAAATTAAACTGGCTTCTAAAGCATAAACTGTGAAAAACATTTAAGACACTTCGGAAGTATTTGGAAATATTTGGTCTTTGAGTGCCCCCTCAGGCCACTTAAGACATGACTATCTAATTAAATATGCATATTTTGATAAAATGCGATTAAAAAGGTTCTGAAAAATTCACAGTTGTTTGTGTGTATGCGTTATAGACGAATCGGTAAATAAAGGGAAAAGGGTCACGTAACTTATTAATTAGTTAAATAGCTAATAGGATAAATAACATTTCCAATAATACGAGGCAGATTTACGATTTAAACTGTTTATTTGACATTTCGGTAGTGAAAATTCCTAAGATTAAGTTTTGCAACCCTTCCCTGTTTAGGAAAACGTGTTTTGTGACGTCATTGACGAAGCAATGCCACGTATTATTTGAAAGCACGTTTCACGTGTTTTTTGTTTTTGTTTTATTTTTTCGTTGAGCCACATTCAGTATCACTGGTGGAAGCAAACCGTTCTAAATAGCATTTAGCAAAATATGCATATTTAATTAGGTAGTCATGCCTTAAGTGGCCTGAGCCTGAAACAAGTTCCCAAATAATAATAATGTATATGTATAATGAGGCATTTGGTACATATTTGAATAAAGGAATACAAAGCCATCAGTTCTCCTTTGGTTCTGATTTGTTATCATCGTTTTTACCCTTTCAGCTTGTGTATCTGTCCAGTTCCTCGAAATAAGGTAAGACCGACAAAACTTAGGTGTCCTAGCACCAAGGAATTTTTTCTTGGCCAAGAATCACTTGGTGTATATATCTGCTTCTTACCATCTTCTGATGCCATAATTTTTTGTTATGAAGTCGATTCAAATCAAGGTGAAATAATGCAACTGCCTTAAACAAGTCAAATGGCACATCTAGTTGTTATATCTTTTGAATACTTTTGCCAACGATAGTTCTGCACAGGAACCACAGAACGACCAACTGAAAAACCAAGTAAGAAACCAGTCATTGATGACAACAAAAACCCTGAACGACCCACTCATGGAAACCAAGGAACTGGACATGGAGGAAGCCATGGTGGCATGAAGTGAGTTTTCAACCGTTCTCCAACCTTCGAATTTTTATAACCTTAAAATATGTAATTTCTCAAAAGATACTTCATATATTTTTCTTTTTTTTTCAGCTCTGTTAAAATACCGTCACCACCCTGTGGCAAAGAACCTTGTTGTGCCGGAAATCGAAAAGGACCTGGTTGCTCACAACCAGATCTTTGGCCATTTCGAGGTAGGACTTTGACAATCACGTTGTAATATGTGAAAATAAATTTAAGAAAAACGATCCAGCTCCAAAATTTATTTTGATTTGACTAGTAACAACGACGTATAGTATCTGTATATACAGCGTCTTTAAAGTTTTGCCTGTTACCCGAGATAAACACCTTGCATGTATTTACTTTAATTTGCAGTTTTTATTTTAACTTGTAGTCTTTCATTTCTCAAGATTCCTTTTGTTATTGCGTTATTGTGAACTGTTAAAAATTCTTTTATTTTTCCATTTATAGTTTACAAAAAGAGCAATTTAAAGAAATATTTTTTGGGACCAAAAAATATGTCATTTTTTTTCCTAACCAAGTCTTTAGGTGCCGAATTTTTAGGAAGTTGTAAAAGGATCAATTCCTTTTTTTCATTTGCCTGTTTGCTTATTTTTTGTTCCCGACTCAAGAGACCCCAGCAGGCTGCAAAAAATGACTGTCTTACATTAGTGTTTACGGATATCAATAAACTATTGAAAAATGTATATATCAAACACGAGCAAAACGTTTATCGCATATTGAGCACCAAGAAGAAGTGTGAAAATAAGATGCGTAACGGAGTATTTATGATAGACATATAGCCGTTTGGCATTGCTATGAAGCACTAGCTGTTGTGTTTGATATATAACGTTTTTTTCTAGGGATTGATAATAAAAACGCCTCAGAGAAATTGATTTGGAAGGAATATAAAGGATGCAACGAGCAAGAATGTTTGGTCAGATTAATGATCCAAACACATAGTGTAGTTACATAACTCGCTTTTTTTTGGCTTGTAAATTGTTCATCGTTTACACGAATGATTTACTCTACAGGTGCTACATGTTCAGGTAACGGAATTGCCCAAAGTACCTCTGGTTGTGGGGCTGCATGTCGATGTCTGGGGGGCTGGAGAGGACCATTGTGTGATAGGACCACAGCTGGAGGAAGAGGAGATCCGCATTTGGAAACTTTAGATGGTGTGTGTATGAGGACAACCTTGTGTAAAGCGGGAATTGAGCAACGCTTTAGTGCCTTTTTTAAAAAATTATTTTTTAAACAACGAAATTAGGGCGTTCACTTTAAAAAACACACTTAGCTAAAAACAGTTTCAGCTTCTAGTTAGCTACAAATAAGCTTTCGATAGAAGAAACTTTTAAAATTCGCAATACTTTCACTTTATTGTGCACGGACTATGACAGATTGTGCATGACATTCTTAATACAAGGTCAAACATGTGGCGAGAATAGACAATAACTTTGTTGGGTGCTATCGAAGTTAACTGTTTACCCCGTATGTGGTTTCGATGGTACCGTTTCGTAAGGACAAAAACGTGCAGAAAACACTAGAATTTTTGCGAAGTTTTCTATGCATTTTAGTGAGGAAAAACATTACTATGAAGGGTACCTTAAAA